ATCAGTTGGGGTTGTATTTTGCTGTTGGTCCTCGTAGCATGGAGATTCTCCTCAAGTAGCCATGGTTTCCCATGCCTTAGAAGGTGACTGGACCTGAACCAAACCAAAGTGAGGCAGCTGGTAAGTTTCATGGCTCTCGTGGGCATTCTAATGGAGTTGGGATGTTCTGGCTTGGACAGAGTTGCCCAGGCTGGTTTCTTAATATTTCTCAAGGGACTGAGAAATGTAGGCCCAGTTCACCTAATATTATTGCTTTTCTTTGGAGGGTACAGTTGGCAGCGTGCTCGGTACCGTGGGATTTAAGTGGCCCCTCGGGTAGCACCAGAGATGTTTGTGGGGCCCAGTGTCGCCTGTTCACTCACACTGAGTGAGTGTCCTTCTATGGTTTGTTTTCCTTCTTTCCCTCTTTTGAAGGAACTTCTGTTCCCTTCTTGTCCTTCCCTTCCCTCCAGCTTTTGTCTATCTGCAAACTCAAATTATTTGGCTTTCTAGTGCTAGTCAACTGAGGCAGACAGAGAGTACTGGACCGAGGATTCAGTTTAGCAGTGCGGGCACCTTCCTGGCAAGCACAAGGTCCTGAGCTCAATCCCCGGTACAAAAAAAAAAAAAAAAAAAAAAAAAAAAAAAAAAAAAAAAAAAAAAAAGGAGAGAAATGGAGGGTGCTACCCTAGCAATTTCTCACATGGAGAATGGAAAGAAAAAACTCATGTTCATTTTTAAAGGTGTAGTTTTTGTTCTGGGAGGACTGGCAAAAGCAGTCTCTTTTCTCTGGTGTCTTGAAGCTGATCTATAGCTGTCTCCTTCTGGGGTTACTTCCCTAATGCTGGTTTGTTTCTTCCATTCTACTAAGTTTTGCTTTTGTTGAGATTTTTTGCCATGATTCAGTGAAATGCTGGAGAGTTGGAGACAGAGAAAGAAACTAAGAGGAAATGAGGTTTCCATACAAGGGCACGGGTTTTAAGAATCAAATCCTGCATGGACCTCTGGCTGTGAGAGTTTAAATTGCATTTTCTTGTTCCCTGTTCTTAGAGTGCCACCTACTGGCTGATGATGGCATATCACCTGTTAAAATATCCATTTCTCAATCAAAGGCTCTAAGAACCACATCTGAAAGAAAGTTTTTGGAGTTTTGGAGATCTATTGAGAAAAGCGCTTGCTACCGCTCACTAGGCAGGATGTGAGATGCTTTTATAATTGGTTAAATGGAAGCCAGACAGTAAAGCATCCCAGCTGTGGACTCTGCTTAGAAGATGAGTTGTGGTAATAGGGAGAGATACAAATGTTCAAAAGGAAGTAGTCCTGGCACCCACACAAGACTAGATACTTCTGGACCCCAAGGAGTACAGCTCTACTAGTGAAGTGAGAGATGGACAGGGTTATAGACTTAGAGGATGCCCTGTCTGGTACCCATAAAGAAATGGAGACAGTAAAAGGCTCAACCAAAGCCCAAGGACTTCAGCCCTATCAAGTCATAGCCTGGGGCTATAAGGATCTACCAGGAGATGCCCATAATGTACCCACTAATGGGCCAGGGATTGACCCAGGGATAGGCCTGTTACAATCCCACAACTTAATTTTTACTCCTCCTATTTACAGACTCACCATGGGAAATGCCTCATTTATTCCTGACTCCCTGCTTGGTTGCCTTCTTACTCATTGGAAATAGTTCCATCTCAAGGTCCTTCAGAAAGACCATCTTATATTCCTGTGTAATAAAAAATTGCCTACATATCCACTTAGGGAAAAAGAAACATGACCACCCTTTGGCAGCCTAAAATATAACTCCATTTTCAATTAGATCTTTGTTATAAGAAACAGGGAAAATGGTCAGAGGTGCCTTATGTTCAGGCGTTTATGGCCCTTCACCAGAGGCCCGATCTTTGTCCTAGAACTAAATTTCCTTCAAGAGCTGATGCTGTTGAGGACTCTCTGTCAGCTCCTGATTCCCACAGACTATTTCCTCACCAGCATGCCCAGTCAGTACCCCTTGGAGATAAAGGCCATTGCCTGAGCCCACCCAATGCCAGATGTGGGTCTGCCTACCCTAGGACTCAATATCTAAGCTCTCTTCAAGAAGTGGCAGGTGCTGAGAGTACTGTCCAGATGCAAGTCCCTTTTTCAATTATGGATATTCAACAATACAGGGAAAAACTGGGGAGATTTTCTAAGAATTCTAAAGTTTGCTGATGGGTTCCAATCTGACCTGGTGAGATGTCCAGTTCATCCTGGTTTCTTGCTGCACAGCAGAAGAATGAAAAAGGATTATAGAAGCTGCAAAGCTGGATTAAGATGAAGACTCACAGCTTCACCCAGTGATAATCAGCCAACTACTGTGTTGTTTGGACCCCCAAAAGGGGCCTGAGTGGGATTATAACATACTGGGTGGAGAAGCCAAATGAAAATCATTCATCCAAGCCACTTTGGTGGGTATCAAAGCTCTGATGAAAATCCAGCTGCTTTTCAACTCTAGTTTGAAGAAGTACTCTGTAAATATATTTATTTAGTCTCAGAGTCCAGGGAAGGTCAGATTATCCTAGGACAGAATTTTATTCATCAGTAAGCTCCAGAAACTGGGCGAACACTCCAAAAATTCCAACAGGGCCCACAAGCAGGAATAAGTCAATCGGTTGTTGTGGCTTATTGGTCTTTAATAACTGTGATGAAGTAGAGGACAAACCAGAGGAAAAGAGGCAGGCGAAAGCCATGCTTTCCCTAATTGATAAAGCTCAGGATAAAGCCACAGTGCTAAGGGAAACCAAGGTAATCCAGAGTGACAGAAGTGAGTCAGAGTGCTTCAGGGGCAAGCAGCCCGCAACAGTGCCTTCTAAAGGCACCAAACCCTTGTTGGGTTTGTCAGAACATGGAAGACCATTGGCATTGGAGGAGAGACTGCCCTTGTTCCCAGAGAGGCATGGAGTTATTCACCACCATGGTGGTCAGGGAAGAATGCTTGATAGTGAATGATGGTGCCCGAGGCAGCCTGTGTGTCTTCCACACAAGCTTATTTACAGGAGCCTCGGGTGACTCTAGAAATAGAGGGCAAACAAATTATATTTCTCTGTGATACCGGGGTGTCTTTTCAATTCTGATTTTTACTGGAGCGAGCTTTCATCTCATTTCAAATTTGCTGTGGACCTTGAAGTGGTTAGCTGGACAGCTTTCTTTTACCACCACTCTGAATTGCCCCTTGAAAGATTTTCTTTTCCAAGCTGCCTTTATGGGGATATTAAAGTGCCCCACATCAGTAACTGGAAGACATATATTCTTCCTACGCAGGGCCACTCTGACATTCAAGCCTCTGGCAACCTGTGTTCTAGTTGCCAGAGACCCAACCAGCTTCGCCCCAAGGGGCCTGATGTCTCTGCTGGGAACTGATTCCCAAACATAGTATGATGGTACTCTGGGGAGGGCTGGTAAGACCAACCCAATAATTACTTAGCTCAAGAACCCTAACTTTTACCCTCACAGAAGACAGTATTACCTTAAAAAGAAGCTGGGGAGGGGCTAAAGCCCATTATTGATAGGTTCTTGACTACAGGGTTACTGGCAGCAGGCCAGTCCCCATACAATACACCCATTTTACCAAGAGTGGAACCATCAGGAGACTATCACCTAGTACAAGATCTCAGAGCCATCAGTGAGGCAGTGGTACCTACTCACCCATGAATAGAAGACCAATACACGTATACCCTTTGAGCACAGATCCCAGGAGGCACTGAATGCTTCTCTGTCCAGATCTCAAGGATGCTTTCTTTACTAACCCTATAGATCCAAAATCTCGATATTAGTTTTTTGAATGGAAAAATCCCCAAACAAGATTCTGCCAACAGTATACTTGGACTGCCTTGCCTCAGGCCTTTAGAGATAGCCACCACTTTTTTATATGGGCCTTAGCACAAGACCTGAGAGTCTTAAAATTTAAAAAAGGAAGCCTATTCTTACCCTCAGGGTTCCACTGGGCCCTGAATTTTCTTCCTGCCCTTGGACTGACTTAGACTTGTGCACTGTTTCTGGAGTACTTTGGTTTGAAGACCTGGGGTACTGCCGCATTGATATTGATGGGAATTGAATTAGGGCCCTGCATATGCTGCACAGTCTAGCACTGAGCTACAACCATAAACCCTGATGGTTTATTGTCATATCCTTAAGTTACTTGGAATTTACAGGGTGAGGCCTTGACTATCTCATTGACCAATATGTCCCAAGCAACTAACACAATGTTCATTTTGAACAATTGCTGAAAAGTATTTGATGAATGAATAGATGGATGTGTAGACTGTCCAGCATTTTCCATACATGTTCCTCTTTTCATAACACACACACATACATGCATGTGAACATGCACGCATGTACACACAACAGCGAAACACTCAAGAGACTCTTCATTTTTACTTTTTATGGTGCTGGGTATCGAACGCAAAACATCATGCATACTAAGCCATTTTCTTACCACTGAGCTGCACTCCCAGACTGAGGCTCTCCATTTAAGAACTGTCCTGGAACTTGGTCCAAGTCTTCTAGGCATCACTGCAGGGATCACATTATCAGAAACAGCAGTCATGGGTCCCACTTGAAAGCAGAAGGCCTGAGTATGAATATACTTAAAGTGAAGTGGAACAATTGAGAATTTGTGTTGGAAAAATTGAATATCTAGTGAAAAATCGCTACAGAAAATTATTTTATTCAACAGTAAGAAGCCCTTAGGGGACATTAAAGACAGGGAAGAAAGGAGGTAGAAAACTCTGTGAGATATTCCTGAGAGCATAGGCATGAGGTTCTCTGTATCGCCCCTGCTATATTTTCTCCTTGTTTATGCTGGTAGTTGCTGGCTATTACTGATATCAGGAATCCATCTGGAATATTGGGCCTTTACTAGGCTACTCTGCAACAAATTCCTTTCAAGATCCATTGTCTCGAGTCTTAATAGTGTAGTTCAGCCAGCAACTATTGTTGGGTCTTCTGGGCATTGTTCAGATGACAAATTTGGGGGCTAGGGCCTCCTAGGCTTTGGTTATGTTCTTCCACAGATCGAGGTCTTTTGAGAGCCCTTGCAGATGCTGGCTTCTGGTTTTCAGCCTTGCTGGGGTGACAATGGAAGGATCCCCATAGACCCACCTCAGTGCTGGCTTCACTGCTGTGCCTTTTGCTGGGGTGGCGATGGCAGTATCCCCATAGGTCTGGTAGCCACCAACCAGGCAATAGGTTTCTCCGTGCCAGCTTATCTGGGTTTCTCCACATCCTCAGTAGAGGACATGGTAGTAAACAGGTGTAGGAGGGGTTGTGGCCAGAACTGGTGCTACAAAGAAAACCAGAACTGATCAGTCACTTCCACTTCTCACACTGTGCTGCCAGGAGCTACCCTTCTCACACACCTTCCTGGGTGAAGCTCATTCTATTTGGCATCCCACAGTCTTGGCCTGTCCCTTTCATATAGGTCACCTAGAAAGAGATGTTTGCTGTAAGAGCACTTGGTTTTTGTGGAACCATAGCAGCAAGAGACCAGAATATCTGGCCCCCATTTGAACAGTGAACAGAAAAACCTGAAAATAATTAAAAATGGGACATCCTGAGTTTCTGGGTGCCAAGATTAGGCTCAATTTCCTTTCTCACACCAAACCAAACCTGGGGTCTTTTTCCTCAGATATCCAGTCTCAGTAGGACTTTACTTTTCTCCAGACTTTTCAGTCCCAGTTGTATGATGTAACCCGTGTCCTAGTCCTCATCGACTAAGACTGTGATTGTTGCTGGACCCATATGCATGTCTTCATGACAGCATTGTAAAGCTAAGTCTCAAGGTGAAGTTCGTGATAAACTTTCAACAGATCTTCCTCAAACAGCTCTTCTTATCTCTTGAAGCCAAATACAATTTACTTTCCCTAAGAGTCCTCTGAACAAAGGGTCTAAGGAAGCTTTCTTTCTCTCTCTCTCTCTCTTTTTTTTTTTTGTACCTGGGATCAAACTCAGAACCTTGCATTTGCAAGGCAGGTGGCAGCACCACTGAGCTAAATCCCTGCCTAAGGAAGCATTTTTTTAAAGATGGGATTTTACTATGTTGCTCAGTTTTGTTCCAAACTTCTAGGCTGAGTCAAGGCTGTAGCTCAGCCTTGTGAATGAGTCCTTGGACTATAGATGCCTCCTCTACACCCAGATATGAAGGAAGCATCTTGTAGCCCAAAGGGTAATGGATAAATTTATTATAATTTGGATCTTCCTAATTACTTGACCAGAAATGAATGTCCCTAGCCTGCACATTGAGCAAAACCCTCCAAGATCCTGACAGGGTACTAGGCTCTTGGTCCTACTCATGACTAGGGAAGATTGGAGGTATAGGAGAAAAGGATAAAATAAGTTGTAATGGCCACTGGTGTTGTGTATACACCAAGGTCTTTTGTAGAGATGCCAGGCCCAAGCTTACCTGCTGCACTGCCCTCCCATGGGACAGATGACAAGTTAGCCTGAAGATAGATGATCTGGTCAGACATTCTCTTGCCAGACAACCAAAGACTGGTGTTTAGTAGAGAACCAGTGGAAAGTTTATCCACAGTTGAGTAGATTCCCTACCATGGAAACCAGGAGACCTGTGATATCATCACTACCTAGTGAGGTCACATGCAGAATCTTGATTTGATGGATAGGTTCTGGGCTGACAGTGATTGGTGAGAAAGAAGGCAGAAAACACTTCCTAGGTTTCTATCTGTCCTCCTTAGCCACATCCTTGTCAGTAGCCACTTCTTGTGTAGCACTCCTGTGGTTGGCCACACTCCCTGTGACCATATGGAAGGCAAGAAAATCTTAAATGTTGATAGGGGTAGGAGAGTCAAGATTAACCCAAGAGACAGGTTTCAAGGTCTGACCCTGAGAATTCAACAGTTAGAGAGGCAGAGATATGGGTAGATTAGAAGGTGAAAGAAGTCACCCCAGAGTTGTGCTTGAAACATAAGTGAGATTTGGATACGTGCCAAAGAGATTTTACAGTGTTTTGTTGTGTTTTCTTGTTGTTGTTTTGTTTTTGTTTTTGTTTGCTGTACTGGGGATTGAACTCAGGACCTTGAGCCACTGAGCTACATCCCTGGCCCAACATTACAGTGTTGTGAGAACAATAAGAGTAAAGACCATGTTCTCTTGATTTTTTTCTTCCCCATGTATACACTCATAGAATATTCTTGTTTTAAAAAATGAGCTCTTAAAAAAATTTTTGTGGAAGGAACAGGAGCTAATCAAGGTAACACTGGTAGTAGAGTGAAGTTCTGCTCAGGGTGCTCAGTGGCCTTTGAAAGTGCCAGATCTTTGGAAGGAAGTTCAAGTAGGACCATGGCAAATGAGGGTCTGCAATGACTTAATAAAGCAAGGTGGCAGGCCTATTTTTAAATGAAATTCAAAATACATTTATGGCCAAATGGTATAATATAAAAGGCAACACTATCATTTCATTCCTCACATGTACAAAAAGAAAATAATAGAGCTGGGGATAGAGATCAGTGGTGGAGCCTTCTTTCACATGCCTGAGGCTCTGGATTCCATCAAAGCATCAAAACAACAAAAGCAAAAAACCCAGGTAACTAAAAGAGTCTTTGAAGAACATGTAGTGGCTAGGAATGTGAATCCTCTAAATTCACCATGTATCATGGCAATTATTTTAAAGAGAGTCCAAAGAGGAACTAGTATGTTAGAAATCACCATAATACAAAATAAAAATTCAAAATCTAATTTAGCTTCCATGAGTCATAGAAAAAGTCTACCCTCCAGCAGTGGCCTGTAGCTTGTCATTTAGAGCCAGAAGCAGCTCACCAGGCCCTTAGGGAGGCTATTGGGTAGCCCAACACCTCTTACTCAAGTGTGTTTGCTCCATCCATTGTCCTGACAAAAAATCTTTCTGTGCCATAATATTTAAAGCAGCCAAAACCAGGTTCTCTGTGGCAGAGTGTTCTCACTGAGAATACAAATCATGGAAGGCCTCTCTTTCAACAAGTTGCCCACTGTGAAGGCCATGGGTCTTCCTGGAAAGGAGTCTGTTTGGTCCATATAGTCCTTCATGAGTGAGTTAATTAATTAATTCCCCCAAAAAGAATAAATCCAGAGTGTCGGTCATTAGCCTCAGGGCAGCATCAGAACATGAGAGTTGCAGCTACAGCTCCAGAGCTCAAGAGCTGGTGTCTTTCTTTATTCTTTTAGCCAAACAGCAGTTATAGCTACATAGCGAACACAGCTACTAAAAGGTTATGGTATTTTAAGTTCACAAGAGTTATAGTGTCTTATTGGTTTACTGAGGTATGCTAAGACTAAACACCTGCTGCATGACCTTGTCTATGCTGCGCATGTGTGGTTGAGTATGTTAGGTCATTCTTAGATAACTGTGGCCCGTTATGTGTGTGTCCCTGAGAGTGGAGTCATGTCCTTAAGTATCCTCAGACACCCTGAGATACCTAGACTTTGAGTATAATTAGAAGTAGTACCCCACACCCACTCAGTCTATTTGTTTGTTTGTTTTTTGAGACAGGGTCTTGCTATGTAGTCCAGGCTGGTCCTAAACTCACTAATGCAGCCCAGGCTGGCCTCAAACTCATGGTGATCCTCCTGCCACAACCTCCTGAGTACTGGGATTATAGGCACCACCATGCCTAGCTCAGTCTTCTGAATGAAGCAGAAATCTCAGGATTGGGTCACAATTTTGATGATGTCTGACACCTCTTTCTCCACGTGTCTAATACTCCCTGCTCTGTGGATATCATTTTACAGGGTGAAGACCAAGTCATAATTGACCAGTTCTCCTAGGGTGATGTTCAAGCCTAGAAAGCCATATATGTAGAGAAATATATGTGTGAAGGCCTTCTGGAAACACAGGATTCTTTCCCCCATGCTAGTGGGCACATTTACTCCTGTGGCCTTACATTATGGATTTTATGATCTTCCAAAACATATTCTATCCTGGCTCCAACTTGTGATTTTTCTGCCTTGGGCTCCCAGTGTGCTGGAATCACATGTGGGCAATTCATACTTGGCTCTCTTTTGGGTCCACAATGTAGTGTAACTGAACATGGAGGGAAAACCGGGGAGCCTTATGAGGTAGGAGCTGTTTCCAAGAACACACTCAAGTATGTTACTAGGCTCCCCTCTTCCGAACTGTGATTGCCAGATCCCTTCTTCCAAACTGTGATTATCAGTTGCCTGGAGAATTGCAAGTGGTTTATTACTTTTCTCCTTGCTGAGACAAAATACCCAACATCCAGTGTTAAAAGGGGAAAGGTTTATTTAGTTCACAGTTTGTAGAGGTTTCAGTCCATAGTTGGCTGGCTCCAAGGCAGAGTGGCACGAGGCAGAGGGGCGTCACAGAGGAGAACTAGTTCAGGGAAGGCAGAAGACAGAAAAAGCAACAAGGAACCTTAACAGCATTTTTCTGTCCTTTCTATCTTATCCAGACTATTTAGGGCAGGTAGCACTCATACCCTTAATTTTAGTACCCTTGAGCCGAGCACTCAACTGATTCATGAACACCATGAATCAATTCTAGCATCACACACTCTAGATCCTGAATGCAGGGGTGTCTCTGGGATGCAGTGTGCCTGTGAATAGCATGCTGATTTCAAGTGCAGTCAGTGGAGGCTTGTCCTGCCTCCTCGTGGCAAATGCATCAGTGTGCCAACCCCAGTGGGTGACAGCAAAGGATGTCTAGACAAATGAATGGACGTAAGAAACTGGAGGCCCCTTCTGGTGAGAGGGACATTGCCTGAAAGTGGAAGGATTCACATAATCTCTGTGTTCTTTGCCCAGGTGGGCATCTCTGGTGCTTCTTGGCCTACCCTGAAGCTCGGTTTTCTCACCTTTAATGTGAGGCATCAACACGAGCCATAACACTACTAATTCCAAACCTTGAATGATTTCTCTCCTCTAACAACGGGCACAAGGGGAAGCCTCGCTGCTGTCTCAGATCACACTTCTCCTTCTCTTTCTCCTCCTCATTAAGCCGGTGGTGGTTACCAGCTGTGGAGCTGGGGAGTGAAGCCAGCAAGGCCACCGTAACTCTATCGTGACACCTGGCAACTCAGCTCGGCACACAGCAAGACCCCACATATCGTTCCTTGAGGAGTGAGTGCACTTGACACTCGCGAGGTTGTTGCCGCCACTTTCTTCTTACTGCGAGAACGTAGTGCAAGACTGAGTGTGTGAGCAGCCACGAGACTCGGTGCCCAGAACTGTGCTGTTAGTTCAAGGTGTGCTAGCCCATTCTACTGTGCACACGAGGGAGAATATTCTATCAGCCTCACTTTCAAAATGAGAAAAATGAGCTGCAGTGTAGGCCAAAGAACACAGTGATGCCCACCTGGGCGAGGCACATAGAGATTATGTGAATCCTTCCACTTCTAGGCGATGTCCTTCTCACCAAGAGGGCCCTCCGGTTCCTTACATACATCCATTTGTCTAGACATCCTTTGCTGGCCACACATTGGTGCTGGCACATTTATGGGGTTTGCAGAGTGGTGACAGCGCAAGTCTCCATTGACCACATTTGGAAAGGACATTCTGTTCACAGCTGTGCTGCATCCCGGACCCCTCCTTGCATTAGGTTTGTGGGCACACAGTCTCCCTCCTCGGCCTGCCTTCATGGCTCCCCCAAGCAGGGTTACTCTGTGTAGCTGAGCATCTGAGCTCTCGCTGCTATCCATTTAGATGAGCAGCAGGCTACTATAAGATGCTTTTCTTGTTTTTGTTTTTTTTTTTCAGTTCTTTTTTTTTAAAGACATTGTCTATGGAGTCCAGGCAGACTTCTAACTCAAGAACCTTTTGCCTCAACCTTCTGGTTGCTGAGATAACACATGCAAACAGGTGAGATTTCCATGTTTTTGAGCTTGCTGATTGTATCCCATTGTGAAGTTGTACATGTTTATGTGTCTGTTCTTTTTTTTTTTTTTTTTTTTTTTTTGTTGTGGTACCAGGGATTGAACTCATGTTCTTTTTCCTATAGCCTCATAGTTTTGGGAATCTTTTTACTAGAAAGATTGATTCATTTATTCATTTAAAGATAGGCCCTAAGATGTTGATTAGGCTGGCCTTTAACTCGTTCACTCAAGCCATCTTCTTCCCTCAGCCTCCTAAGTAGCTGATGTTACAGGTATGTACCAGTGTTGGCACTACAAGAGGCTTTTACAAATATAGATTTCTAGGTCCTTATCCTATAATTTTCCATGGTCTGGCCTGGGTTCTGGAGATCTCTCATTCCTAAGAGTTCTGTGAGCATATTTATCTCATGTTTGGAAATTACCAGGCTGACTCTACCAGTAACTGCAAATATGCTCCAGTCACATCAAGTATGAGTGAGGAACTCTGGGGGGCATTATGGTTTACATCTAGATGTACCCCCCAAACCTTATATGCTCGTAGGTGTGGCTGTGTTGGTTCTGTCCCTCCAGGGGCAGGGAATATCTTTCCATTTTCTGTTATCCTTCCTCTTTGATCTCCTTTTGTAGAGCTCTGTAATTTTTATTGT